TCTGGGAGGTGAGCCCCAACACCAGCACCAGTTTGGCTGCCTGCACCAGTGGGGTCAGGAGCTGAGCCCTGAGACCAGCAGCAGCCCATATGCCTGCCGAGGGTGTCCAGGAGCTCAGCCCCAAGGACAGCACCAACCCCAGTGTCTGCCCATGGTGGTCTGGGAACTGTGCGCCGAGGACAGCACCCATGTCAGCTCAGAGGTAGAGCACTTGTAGCAGTACAGCAGGGACAGTGCTGATGAGTGGTGCAGCTGAAGTGAATGAATGTAGAGTGCTAGCTCTCTCACAGAGGCTACGTTAAAAATCAGGTCTTTAAGAGCAGTTGTTTGCCTAAAAATGGGCTATGATGCATAAACCACTGCATCCCCATACTCTCCAGTACAGCCCCTGTGTGCCTGCACAGCATGGGCAGGAAAGCTCTGGGCTGGGTTTCAGAGACTTTCACTTTGTATGCTGAGAGGTGATATTGAATCTCACAAAATCTGGGTCTCAGCTGCCTTTGCACATCACAAGTTGGACCTTGTAACCTTTGAAAGACTCTGCTTTCATTTTTCTGCCAATCTTTGGGCCCTGCAGAGAAGTTCAGGAGTCCCATGTGCTTTAAAATCTGGGCTCAGAAAGTGAGTGCTCATCCTGACATCCACACTTGGTGCTTGCAATTAGTTATTCTTCATTATCCTATTTAAAAACCACAATCCTGTAATCCAGGAGATGAGGCACCATCAGAGCAAGTCCATGACTCTTTTGGCTCCGCCTGAGAAAGTAAGTTTTCCTGAACTGTTAAATCAAATTTCTCTCCAACAACATTGTAGTACAATGCATTCACATCAATCTAGTCATATGTAGTTACAATACTTAAGAAAGCCACGACCAGTTTAAACAGCATTTTTGCAAGCTAGTTGGGAAATCAGAAAATAATTTGATGCAATATACTGAAATGTCAAAGATGTTTTCATTTCAAAAAGGGATTGAAATAATTTTAAGCCAGAATTTTGATTTTTTGCCTGTATTTTTCAGATTTTTTTTTATTATTATTATTAGCTACTCTGCTTTTTTTTAATTTCTTCCCTCTCTTCTGATTTTTCCCCATTTTCATTTACATTTTCGCTGGATTTTCTTAAACGAATTAAAAATGCTCAGGGGTTAAATATTAAAAATGCTGAGCTCCATTTGTGTGCCCCTGGTCTGGGCTGTGGAGCTGGGCTGGAAACAGGCTGACACCTCTGCTGACTCCAAAGAGAGCTTGAGCACTGTGCTGATGTGGAGACCATGGTTGTCCTTCCACTGTTTGTCCCTGTGGGGCTTCTTCCCAATCCCGTTGATTAGTACTGGGCTTTTGGGGTGAGCTGCATTTCTCCTCTTCTTTGTGTAATTGAGAATGTTTGTATCAGTGATACAAAACTGCAGCTCTGAGACGCATGTTACGACCCTTCTGGATCATATCCTCCTTTGATTAAACATCCACAGTTCTTCCCAGTTTCTCTGGTAATTAGGAAATGCTCCCAGTGTTTTGATATTTCTGCTGCTGCCTCCAACAATTCTGTGTTTTGGGCCCAGGCAGCAAAACAGATCTGCTGTCCCAGTGCAGAGACCTGACCATGACAGGGAGTTTGTGCTATTTTCTGTACATTGTATGGTTTGGTTTGACTTTATCACTGTGTTGAGAGTGAGGAAAAGGCATTATCTGGCCTGCATCTTCCACCTGCATGGGTAAACATACTGCCTTTTCCCTTCCAGGATGAATTACTTTGGCCTATTCAGGACATTTCTGAGCCATGCTAGGTCCAGTCTCTGGATGAGCAGGTCTGCACAAGCCCTGTTTGGTCCAGAAGACCATCTCAGCCTTATAAAAAGAACTATTTTGGTGCTTTGCTTTTTGTCCTCTTCTGTTCAGACTCCTGTGTCCCTCCAGCATGTGGCTGCTCAGTCAAGTAGGGTCCATGCTGAGCACAAGCACTTTCATTTTCTAATATTTGACTCTAAGGCCTTTTGGAAACTCTGCATTTTTTGAAACCTCTCTGTCAGCTACAGCTTTTGGTCCAATTTTCCCCTAAGAGTGCTGTACTCAATTAGGCTGGCACTGGTGTTGCTCAATCATCCAACCATAATGATGTCTTTACCCAAATCAGATAGGTTAGTCAGGGCATGAGTCCAGAGCTGCTTCCTCCTGTGTGCTGCTGCAGAACAGGCTGACCTAGAAACAGCCAAACAGCACAAAACAAAACTGCTAAACTGCTTTTCTGAGCTTGTCTCATGACAAATAGCTAAAACATACTTACATGTACCTGCAACTGCTTCTTGTTACGCTCTGAAGGGAGTTCAGAGCTTTGAGAAACCTGGTCTAGTGGAAGGTGCCCCTGCCTGTGGCAGGGGGTTGGACCTGGATAAGCTTTAAAGTCTCTTCCAACCCAAAACATTCTATGATTCTGAGAATTCATTTTCTTTCTGATGTCCATTGCTCAGTAATATTTTCAAACAGTCTAAGAGGAAAGGCTATATTTGCACTGAATGTTGCTGACAATTTGTTGCTGGACAGGCTTTTCTTCATTTACAGACTACAAAGCAAAAAACCCTCTTTGCCATGCATTGGATTAACCAGAGAGGTAGAAAATCATAGCCAGGGTTTGCTTCTCAGCCAGGAAAAAGGAGTGCAGGTGCCAGAGGGAACCTCAAGGTGGGCAGCCCAGAGGTCTACCTAAAATTGCTGCTCAGCCTCTTTGGCCTTGTAATCCCAGCCCTGCCCCTGCAAACCCATCCAGTCCCTGAGACATAACCCAACCAGTCTGTGTTGAGCTCTTGTTCTTCCTTGCAGAGCATCCACCTCTCCTTTTTGCGCACAGTCCCACCATACTCTCACCAGGCCAATGTCTGGTTTGAGATGATGAGAGTCTTCAACTGGAACCACATCATTCTGATAGTCAGCGACGACCACGAAGGTCGTGCTGCACAAAAGAAGCTGGAGACCCTCTTGGAGGAGAGAGAGTCCAAGGTCAGTTCCTGAACATTGTCTTGTAGCTTTGTTTAAGCAACAACAACAAAACTAGAAGTCTCGGGCTGTTGTATGTATGTAGATTTCTGTATGTAAAACACCTTTTCTTTCCATTGTAACATGGCTAACATGCTTAAAGCATCAACAGTGTCTGACTAGTACCTGACAGAACTTTGTACTTTATTCATTTCACTTGCTTTGCCATGGTCAAAATCTCCTACATGTAAATCAACTACAAAATGAAGGGAAGGATAACCTGGAGCTCTGCAAATGCCTCGCCCAAGATTCCCACCTAAGGAGAGGACCAGTCGCTCAGCTTAGGGAAGCACCTGCCCCATTAAAGCCACCCAGGGGCCAGGCAGACCCAGCAGTGCCAAACCAACCCCGAAAAGCAGCTTCTAAATTGGCAAACTGGAGCTCACCTTAGTGGCTTAGGAGGGGCCAGGGCGCATGGAGGTGTAATGCACCCTCTCTATAAAGCTGTCGGCTCTGCGGACTGAGGCCCCTGTTCCCATCTCCATTGAAGCTCATGCCAACCGCTGCTTTCCTGACACCCCATGCTGGTACAAGAGGGCTGTGGCTGGTGGGAGGCACTGCACCTCCACTCAGGGCCATGTAGGGCACAGGGAGGGAGGCAGGGGAGGTCCCCGAGCCTGGTAGAAATTCAGGAGGACGACCATAGACCTGCTGCCGTTGAGTAGAAGGATCAAGCAAGCATTCAAGACAAGCAGGGAAGGAGAACATAAGGAGCAGTTCGGCTGAGGTGCTTCAAAGGCAGTCACCTGTCTGGAAGGCAAAGAACCACCTTGAGGTGAAGTCCCAGCAAAGGGTGAGGTCCCTCTCGTATGGGCAGAGTCCGAGCCTGTCTCCAAGACTCCAGCAGCAGGGAGTCTTGCACCATCTCCGCCATTGCACCATTCCTGGCTGTTCCCTCTGTGGACCACAGGCAGGGACCACAATCTGCTCTTCTCCAGCCCCACCAGGAGATGCTGGACATGTGGCATCTTGGCTGTTGGGGAGATGTGGCTGTATATGCTTCTTGTGTTTGGAGTTGGCAGTGGAACTGAGAGACTAGAGAGCAGCGTGCCACTGCTCTTCATCACCTCTCATCAAGCACTGGAGGAACAACTGGTGCAGGGGTGCTTGCACAAGCCACATCGACCAACAGGCTTTTGGTTTTGGCGGTGGCTCAACAAGAAGCTTCATTCTTGCAGCATCCTTGGCCATCCTGAGACACTAGAGTGCCACCAACTGCAGTGGGATCCTCCTGCCTCCAAAGGCAG